AAATGAAACTTTCTAGTAACAAATTCAGATATCCGTAAAAACAAAGTTCTTGAAAAATATCCTCCCAATACTTTTTTGGAGAATTAAAATCCACCATCCTCATAGACTCAGTCCACTCACCGATAGTCTCGATCTTCACGGACTTGTAGAGCTTCTCCGAGTTGGCGTACGTGGCCGTGCAAGTGTAGAGGCCGGCCTCGGTCTCTCTGAGGGAGGGGATGATGAGGGCCAGCGCGCTGGGCATCTGCTCCGTGTGCATGCGCTGCGGGCTGCTCGTGTACATCCTGCACATCACCAACAACATCATAAACATGGCATCAAAAACAACGAACAAAACTTAACCATTAGCTCTCATTATTTTGGTACTTACACATCGTTGTTAAGGATGGTCCTGTTGTTGGGGTCGAGCCACTGCATCTCCGTGAGCAGCGGCATGTTCTCCACGTTGGCCTTGCACGTCAGCAGCACGTTCTTGCCGATCGGCTTGGTCTGCACCGCCTGCGACGGCAGGATCTGCAGCTCGGGCGTCCGGATCGCGTCCGTTCCTGGAAACACACGAGACCATCGCGATGAGCACGAGCAGCACGAGCTGTCAGAGTCGGACAGGGGAGGCCGGCGCGCCTGCGAACTAGTGGGTAGGCCAGCCCGCCGCGCGCGCGTGCTCGACGGGACGGCCCGCCCGCCAGGCGCTCCTCGTCCTCGCTCGCTCCCACGAGCAGAGATGAGTTTCTTTTTTTCTGGGCCGTCGTGTTTTTCTCTTCCTGCGAGGTCTCTGGACCAGAGCCTCGCCTGTCCCCCCGCCCCCCCCCTCCAGCACGAGCCTCGTACAACCAGCGCGCTTACTTTAGCCGAGCCGAGCAGCCAGTCGACTCATAATTTATCGTGGATCGTATTACAAATTGAGCAGCAAAAGCGAGTAGTGGCTGCTGCCGCCGCCGCTGCTGCTGGCCCTTCGAGAGCTGCGCTGCGGGCGGAGAGTAGGGGAGAGCGGGGGCGGGGATGGGAGGGGGATGGCGCCATACGACGCACAAGATTAAGCGAGATAATGTCAGAGAGCGACGCGAGAATGCACCAATATACGAGGAGATGGAGAGAGAGAGGGAGAGGGGGGAGAGAGAGTGGAAAGAGGACGAAGCGCGTGAAAGAGGGAGAGCGGGAGGGAGCGAGAGGACGCAGGCCAAGGGTAATTGATGGTACACGCACGTCGGGGGAGCCCGGACGGGCAGACCGACAGACAGGCGACGAAGACGGCTCGAGCGAGACTGCTGCGTCCGTCCTTGTTACTCGCGCGATAGCGAGAGACGGAGCGAGCAAAAGGGCGCGGACAGGCAGAGACGCGCGCGTGACGGCGGCAGCAAGCTGTCCATAACAGCATCGAGTATCAGTGCTGGACGCGCGGCGAACAGCCGCAGGAGAGACAGAGCGCGAGAGACAAAGCGAGAGAGACAGAGCGAAAGAGACAGAGCGAGAGAGACGACATAGAGAAAGGGGTGGGGGGCGACGCCCGGCATTAGAAGGGTCGTGTGCGGAGCAATTGAGGGAGTGGCAGAGGGG